TATATTAATAATTTTAAATAAATTTGAGAAATTTAACGCATGTATCATTATATTTATTTCTTATAAATAGAATACAGTAGTAACGAGAGAGAAAGAGAGAGAGAGAGAGAGAGAGAGAGAAAGAATGCAGAACAAGAAGAAGACGTAGATTAACTTCTTTAAATAAATAAGAAAGTTTGAATAAACTTATTTTCTTATTTTGAATTATTATATACTTTATAAAATATGTATCTAAAATGTCGATTTCGCCTGGCAAGGGAGTGAGAATTTTTCTCCGTCAAACGTCTCTCTCTCTCTATAATGCTAAAAATATTTTATTTATAAAAATATTTAAAATAGAATATATACACATATTTACAATGTTTTAAATGTACTTGAATATTTTAAATACATATCCAAACATAAAATGGTTTATATAAATTATAAAAACTGAATATATATCAAAAAATTTAAGATACTTGAAACAAAATTTTAGTTTAGAGAAATTACAATTAAATAAATTATAAAATATATATTAATAATTTTAAATAAATTTGAGAAATTTAACGCATGTATCATTATATTTATTTCTTATAAATAGAATACAGTAGTAACGAGAGAGAAAGAGAGAGAGAGAGAGAGAGAGAGAGAAAGAATGCAGAACAAGAAGAAGACGTAGATTAACTTCTTTAAATAAATAAGAAAGTTTGAATAAACTTATTTTCAAGGCGGGAATTATTATATACTTTATAAAATATGTATCTAAAATGTCGATTTCGCCTGGCAAGGGAGTGAGAATTTTTCTCCGTCAAACGAACAATCCGACCGTATCTATCGCGGTCGACGACTGAGAAAAACCTCTTGGCACACATACGCCCCTCGTTTCCTCTCCTCCACCGTCTCCTTCTTCTCCATCACCACCACGGGACAATGAAGAATTTCGCAAGCAACGCGCGCGGAAAGATTTCTGAACACCGTTTAGCGGCTCGGCACGAAAAGTGAAACTGGACAACTATCATTTAGTTATCCTAGACAAAGTATCGTACAAACAATGTTACTATATGAGCACTGGCAACTTCGACGATGTATCATACAATTAAGATTGTGTATCTATCACTTAATGCCTTACATACATTTTAATAATTTCTTACCTTTATTCTTGCAAACTAAATCTCTATCGCAATTTCTCTACTACTAATTTCTCGCCTTTCCATATTTTTTCATATTAAGATGATTTATTAATAATAATCAAATATAAGTCAACAATTTTTTATATAAGAGGGTGTCTACTCAAATCTTATAAAAAAAATTCCTTTATCTTCTAGGTACTTTTACTCAAAATTCTAGATAAAGAAAATATTTTAAAGATTTTTAGTGCAACTTTCTAAAATAAGATTTTTTTTCTAATGTTTTTTATTTATACGGAGAAAAAACACGAAACTTCTTAAGTTTCAAATGTTAGATTTGCAAATATACTGAAAAAACTGAATAGCTTTCGTAAAATAAAATTTTTCACTTGCGTAATACATTTTCATTTTTTTATCACTAAAAATTACAATAACAAATATGTGGTGCATATTCAATATTTTGTTAAAACATTAAATATATAAACAGAGATAGATATACAATTCATAATATATTTTAAATATACATAATTCACCTGCGTGAAGTTAGCACCCCATTTTTGAAATTTTAAAATTCTAAAGGTTGTTCCAGGTTGTTCTAGACTTGTTCTAAATTGTTCCAAAACATCAAATTTATATTATAAAAATAATTCACTATTTGTTTTATCGGTGTATTGCCGATCGTTTACGATATAAGAGCAAAATTATCAGAGATTTTTTTTTTTTTAATTCCAGAGTCCCAATAAAATTCCATGAGAATCCCCTGATTTTTTTTCAGATACAAAAGAAATCCATGAGAATTTCACGTTTCTCATATTTTTCCAGGGAGTAGACAACCTGCTGCTACTAATTTCCCGCTTTTCATATTTTTTCATATTAAGATAATAATTGGAAAACTTTATATTAATAATAATCGAATATATAATAAATCAATAGTTTTTTATATAAATTGTTAAATGCTTGAGTGTCGTCCCTATTATCTGGAAAATTCAAAAAGTTGGAAAAATCAATGGGACATGTTTAAAAACGGCGTCCAAGTCTCTCTACTTAAGGAGGAATGCGAGCTTTATCGTTCAAGGACGCTCGTATCTTTCGACATTTATGCCACGGCACTGGTTTAAGGACAAATCGAGAGTCGCCTTTACAACGAAGGGGAGAGAGACGAAAGATCTTTGGCCCATACGGCTGGCATTCGAAACGCATTACTTTCATTTCCAATGAGCGACCATTCAAGGGCCACGTGGCTTCTTACGGTCATACATGGTCCACGGGTGCGTCCTTCTTCATCTTCTTTCGTGATGTTTCACCTTGCTACCTTGTAGCAAAAAAAAAAAAGACAAGATCTCGACCAGAATACCTGAGTCACGTGTACTCGATTTGCGGTTCGAACAGCCGCCAAACGACGCGAAATGAAAGAAGGAAGTCGTATCGAAGATTTTTCCCTCCATTCGACCGTGAATAAACTAATAAAAAATGAATAAACTAATAAAATTGAGACTCTCTCTATAAATGAGATAATAATCTCCGATCTATATTGGAATAGAATTTTCTATTCTGGTTGTATGCTTAAGAGAGATTAGCTCGCTCAATTAAATTTAACAGAAATTTTGAAGCATTTTATAACGTGTGATCTCTTTCTCGTTTAAATTTAAGAATCCTAAGTGGTCGTATTTTCTGATTACTGTTCTCGGTTTTATGGATTCTGTAGTCCTTGAATCAATAAAGGTTCGTTTAGCTTTGTCCTCTAAGTTTGTAAAATCTAGATTCCACAGATTCGCAATCTCTTATTCAGCTTCTTCTTATTCCTATTTCACGCAACAATCTTATTCCATCCGTTCGAGATTTATACGGTGAATTCGAATCACACTCGCGGACCGCAATGGCACGACGTAGTCACTCGTGCGTCTCTACGTCTCGGATCGGAACAACTTTCTCATTGTGATAACTGTATAACTCGGCTCGTGGCTCGGCGAGTAATTTGCAATGAAATAACGGAGAACTGGTAGCGCAGGTGATAGTCGGCGAACCGCGGCTTTCGAACACACACGTGTGCGAACGGGCGACGACGGGCAATCACCGATCGATTTGCTCTTTCGCCGTCGATACACCCGGTATCTCGGCACGGATTATTAAATTCCGTTTTTCCTTCGGATATTTCCTTCGCGAACACACACCGATAACACCCACCGTTGATTGCAGAACATATCGCATATTTGTAGCAAACTAGGAACTATTCAATGAATTTTTATACAACGTGAGTCACAGAATACTGAAATATCCTTTTATCTGTAGATACGAAAAATATGTGAAACACAATCACACAATGTAAATTAAATCAAATAAATTAATATAAAATAACTTTTAAAAAATATTCAAAAAAAAAAATAATTACAATATATTTTTATTATCTTATTAAAATATATATTGAATATTCGCTCTATTCTCGAATATTTTTATATATAATCCAATCATTTATCTCTTATAAAACATAATTCAATTGATTCTTCAAATATTTGTGCATGAATAAACGAAGCGATCACTTTTGCATTGAAATCTGAAGCCATTGAGATTATAACGATTTCAACCCCTGACATAAAAATAATTGTGTTTGGATAGTATCGAGCGCGTATACCCCCATGTATGTACGATGACGACGACGGTCATTATTCACCGGACGACGACGACGTCACCGTCGTTTCCAAGTAGAGTCGATCGCACCGAACGATTCGATGTAGAAACAAATTAAATTATACTCCATTATGCCGAATCGATCTTCGCGCGGGGCGTTAGCCTCGTGAATCCGAAGCTCTGGCGAACCTCTGTCGACCAACCCTGCGTTTCGTCCATGCCACAGGTCGATACACGGGAAACGCACCGTCGAGGGCTATGACTCATCCGCGGTGCGACCTTCTCCAAAAAAGTGCGTTAGCAAAAGAACGACTAGGATCGAACAATTCATCGCAGAAACAAGTTATGGAAACGTGGATAAAAAATTCAGCAAAATGGATATTCAAGAGAGAGAGAGAGAGAGAGATGTCAACATTATATTATAACACTCTGTTCGCTTTTCTTCGATTTTTTTGGAACAATAAGAAATAATAATTTAAAAAAAATAAGGAAGAAATTCGAAAAGAAAATTCGACATAAAAAATATCAAAATTTTATTTATACTGTATTATAAAAATTCCAAAAGTACGCTCAAGTAATTTTGTTTCTTTCTTTCTTGAAAAATTCGAAAATCTAGAAATATAGGAATATAAAAATATATAAGCTTGATAATCTCAAGCGCACTTGGAAAAATTCACTCTCTTCGGAAAGTGGTTCCATCATTTTCCGATTCTTCTCTTTTTCCTAGATTCTGGCATGGTCGTGTTTCTGGCAGTAACAGATTGGGGGAGGAAGAAGGAAAGGTTTATGGAGATGATCGATAAGAACAGCGTGCTCTGGAGCCAAAGCGAGTAAAAGGCTACATCGTAAAAATAGTTTGAAAACTAAAAATCACACGAAACAAACTATGGGCTCGAACAAGTGTGCATTATGAGTCACGGAATAGCATTGGGGGTAGCTCTCACA